AATTTGATCCGAACGAACAACTAAAAAAAAAGAAAAAGAAAAAGTTTGACCATTTTACATAATTTTTCGTATTTTTTCTTTCTCACAGCATATTTATTAAAGAATTACCGGTTATTTTTGTTCACAATAACAATTATACAATATAAAAGACATAAAATTACTAAATTATATATTCATTATTCTCTCGCATTGTGTCTGAAGATTGACTTCAAAAAAATCAAATTAAAAGTTAATAGTTAAGAGTCTACAATGTAACTAAGTTAAGTTAAAATTAATTAACTTTTTAACTTAACTTTTATCTTTTTAACTTAGCATTACCCAACCCTGTGTGATTGTTACAATATACGCTTAAGACTATGTAGAAATTCACAAGTCGCCTTCAAAGAAATAATTGTACGAATATAGAGATATAGAGTAGAGATATATTTTATGAGAGACAAGAGATATATTATATATACTATATGTCGATATTTTCGATGAATCCATGTGATATATGTATGAAAATAATGACCGATCTTTTGGAGAACTCCATATTATGTAAGTCAACGGATGTAATAATCGAAAATTGACCTTTCTATCGTTACATCGGAATTTTATATATTAATATTTACAATCTCCTACTTATCTACATATTTTGACGATTGTTCCAAATTACATTATGCGCTGCGTAAAAAAAAACTTATAAACATATATGTTTACTATATTAGCGATACACATTCAAATGATTTGTATCTGATTAATTGACATTAATCTGGACATACGCAGTGAACATAAAACAGATTTATTAAATAATAATTAATTAATTACAACTCTATTTTTCTAGCGTTGTTATCATTGTTATCATTGACAATTAAATTGAATAATATGTTATATTAAATCTTATTCATTATGGTTATCGATATTAACTGCATAAATTTATGCAGTCCTTTATTGTTGCAAAGTGTTTCTCTGAATTATCTATCCATCGATACATAAATAAAGAAATAGTTACTGTTAATGGGTAGGTACATCTTTCTTATATTATTTAACAGATTAATAAATGTTATATAATTATATATATATATATATATATACATGTAAATTACGTAATTATAAAATCACCGTCCCGTTCCCGTCGTTTTTCTCTTCTTAAAAACTCTGCATGTAATATATAATATTAAATAATAGAAACAGTGTTATATAAAATGGACTCGGCAAATTAAACAGTAAATAAAATGTTTAAAAAAGAACTAATTTCTAATTTTCTAATTACGTTTCGTAACAATTGCGACTTTATAATTTTTAATCTCTAAAGAAATAAAATATTTTATAGTATAACATGATATATATAATCCTTTTTTTTTTAAATATTGATAGATATGTAAAAGGGAATTATTTCACCCCTTCGTTCTGTCCGTCGCTGAGTCGCTGTGCGATCGCAGCGTTGTGGCAACCGAACGAATTACAGGTAACAAACAAACAAAAAGTATGGCAGGTGTCAAGCGGTTCGTGAGGAATGACCGGTTGTACACGGCGGATTGATTTGATCTAATTACGGCCGAGGGAAGGCGAGATGTCTTTAGACGCTAGGAAATCGTCGCGAATCGAAGACGTGAGTTTCGCGCGCTGTTATTCATCCGCGGTTCGCGCGCTTAACCTAAACTCGTCTCCGAATTGTTGACCGTTCTACGAGATTTTCAAACTTATAACTTATCCTTTCGCTAAATGAAACAAATGAGAGTTTAGTGTATCGAATTGCTGCTTCTTTTAGTTAATTTCCACGGAGGATGACACTTTGGGATCCTCCATAAGTCTAAGCGTCGGAGAGAACTCGGTTCGCATTAAAGAGAAACCCAAAACTACCAAGGAAGTCGAACATTTATCGGCTAATAAAAAAGATGCGCCGGATAAGTGGTGGTTGAAGAGACCTGAGACACGTTTAGGTGTCCTGAGTGCCAAGAATGCAGATGCGAAGTCAAAGCAGTCTCCTACTCCTTTGTCGGATGTCAGCTCTTCTATGAAAGAGTTTCTCGAGAAAGAGAGGATGTGCAAGGTAACTGTTCAAAACAAGTAATGTTGATGCCACAATAAAGCATTTTCTTTGGTAAAAGCGATATTTTTAATTGCTTTTGTTTTCTATCATTATGTATTGGTTCAAATAATTTTTGTTAATTTAATTTTTTAGACAATATCCAAAAGCGAAGGAGAAGCAAAAGACAAGGATGACACATTATGCGACATACTCGCATCTGCGGCTTTTGATAAATATCCATCAGATTTTGAAAGTAAGTTTTTATGTAAAGCCAGAGCTTTCTAAATTGATGTTTGGGTTTGATTAATTTGTTTTGTTTCATATAGATGCTACTGACGAAGATATCGGCAGTTTTCTAGAGGAAATGAGCAAGATTGCGGGGGCATTAAGTCCGAATTCATGTCCTGAACGTACAAAGTCTGGCGGTTCTAATAAGAATCATACAGAAGAAAAGTCTGTGGAAGAATTATTAGAAGAAGCTGAGAAGCTAGTCAGAAAAAATTGTAACACTCTATCGAAAAGTATATCGAAATCTGATACTCTAGTGCCAGAAAATCAAGACGGAAGTTTGAGCAGAGTGAGGCAATTAGAAGCTGACATTTTTCAATTAATAGAGGAAGAAGTGCATAAAGAAACGGAAAAAATAAAAAGGAGTCCAAAAAACGAGAGAAAACGGGAAAACAGTCCCGGATTCGAGATTGTTTATGAAAATCTGAATAATTTGAAACCACCGAAAACGCTAGAACTTCAAAGAAAAAAGTTCGAAGAACAGAAAGTCGAAATATCAAGCAGTTCTGATTTGGACGACCCGATTGAGAGACATTCCAAGTCCGAGGAACTGAAGAGCGCGAAGAAAATTGAAATGGAGAAGGAGAATCTGCAGAAAGAGATCACGGACGTGGACAAGGACTTCTTCGAGGATTTGTTGAGAAAGTCTAAGGAGAAGGCGGAGGGCGGAATGTCCGCGAGTTCCAGTTTCGGACAGGAAGATTTCTCGCATTTCTTGAAGCTGCTTCAAGGACAAAATACGGATAAAACAGAGCTGGAATCAAAAGAGCCTAATGCGGTATACGATTTCTTTTTAAAATCTACTAATGGCGAAGTAGTATCGACTAAGGAAAGTCAATTAGCTAGTGGCAAGACCCCAGAATTCCCAGAAAAAGAATTTTCCGAAATATTAGAAAAGGAATTACCGGCCATTAACGGTGTAAACATGGATCATGAAATTAATGAGAGCGATTCTAGCGTGAGCGAAGAACGGCATAAAGGGGTACGGAATTCTCTGTCAAGTAGAAAGACGTTCTTAAAACAATCTAACAATGAATCTAAGAAGACTGCGTCGGAAATCGTAGAAAGAGAAAGCAATAAAAATGTGACAGAAACCAATAAAAAGACAGTCAATTCTGAAAATGAGTTATATACAGTAGGATTGACGCCGAGATTGGAATTATTTGCGGATACAATACCCAAACTTATGGCTGAAAAGATGAGTGAAAGTATCGTGAAGGAGAACACGGAGGAGAAAGCAGATTTGGTGTACAAGGAATCTGCTTGTTCAGAAACGAAAGTTGATACGAAAGCGGAAAATTCATATACCGTCAATGTATCAAAGACTTTGAAGATGCATTATCAAGAAGTACCTGACCATGGCGTTTCGAGTAAAGCAATAGATGTACCTAAAACCGACCGCGTTGTTAGTGCACCAAGCAATAAGCAATCGAAAAAAGAGATACGATTTTGCAAGTCTAAAAGCTACGATCTTTTATGCCAGCCTCCCTTAAAATCGTCTCTCGAAAATATCAGGGTTAACAAAGCATTGGACGTGTCTAAGAAACCTGTAAACGCAATTTCTAAAAAGTCATCGGCAAAGTCGAAAGTGCAATCCCGATCAATTCCCAAAGTCGCGCCGAAACCTAACTCATCCTCAAGATCAAAACTGGATTCCGTTAAAGTTGGATCCACATCCAGCTTACCAGCTGCGTGCAAAGGATCCCAAATGAAATCGCCCGATAGTTACAGAAAAAATTTCATGGCCGCCGGAGATTCGAAACAGATTCCAATAAAACGTGATTGGGAGATGTTATGTCGCGAGGAAAGACACAAGAACGCACTGTTGAAACAACAGTTGGAGACCGAGGCAAAACTGTACAAGAGTCAAATTGAGGACATGCGTACGTCTTTTGAGGGAGAATTGTTTGCTTTAAAGAAGCAGAATATAATCTTGAAGGCAAGAGTTGACGAGTTCTCTCTGAGCGAAAGGCGCGCAGAAATTCCTGTCAAGAACGACACGAAGATTATTCTTCTGGAACAGGAATTGGAAAAGCAGGAAAGCCTGATCCGCGCTTACGAGACTGAGAACAAGAAATTGATGCAAGATACGAAACGTATGCAAGAGGAATTGAAAAATTTGCAGTCTAAGCAGAAGAGCACGGTATCGAAAACAAACGACACGCAACAGCTTGCTGATCGGGTGAAGGATCTCCAGGAAGAGACATTGAAGTTGAATCTCGAGGTATCCGAGCTGAAGGAGAAAAATGCTGATTTCTTGCTGAAGAACGACGATCTAATTCAACAGAACAGTTTGCTCACGGACGAATTGGATATGTTTAAGGAGCAGCTGAAAGTGAAAAACAACTTTATTACAGATCGGTTGCAAGTGATGACTACCACAGAGTTGGAACTTAAAAAACAAATAGAGGATCTAACTATTAAATTGAGTTCTAAGTCGGAGCAGTTGCGCATAACTAAACGGGAGCTAGAAGAGTTAGAGAAGGGAATCTCCAGGAGAAATTACGGATAAGCAAAAGTCATGTCGAGCGTGAGAAGCAGCTAACTCAGAGACTCAAGGATCAGGTTATTCTGGACAACAAGAAAGTCATGGACCTGAACAGACAAGTGCGCGAGTTGGAGCGTATACTCAAGAGGAAGAATCCTGACTCAGTTTCGGCTCTCATTCTGACCGCTAATTCGGAACAGGAGAAGATCGGTTCCGAGAAGGTGAAGCTTCTGGAGGAGAGAATAACAAGTCTTGAAAATGAGATTAAAAACAAAGAGGATATCGCGCAACAAAATTTGGTTGACTTACAGAAGAAGTTTTCCGACATGAAGGAGAAATACGCAGTCCAGGTGATGGAGTTAGAGGCGAAACTGTTGGAAGCAACTGTGAAAGAACACAAGTTATACAATGACATGTTCACGCAAACGACGGTGAAGTACATTGAGAGCAAGAGCGTAGAGAATAATAAGAAAGACGATAAACCTTTCACCGTGGAAGATAAGAAGGATCAGAAAACGATAAAAGTTGGGCCGAAATCTCAAAATCCAAAGGAAGACGCGCATCTCATTGCCACTATAAGAGGCCTGAAGCTGGAGATTGCGAACAAGGACAAAACGGTCTCGAAGATAACCAAGGAATATCAGGAGCTTCAGAAGACGAATCGGCGATTACAGAAGGAGCGGGAGAAATTGCTAAACGATCGTAGGAGTTTCAGGAGTATGGATTTCGATAAGGCGTTCCGAGGGATGAAGAACGGCGAAGGAAATGATCAGAATTCGAATGTTTATCAGAACGGGCACGTTTCCGAGAGGTTATCGTCGTCGACGCCAAAGTTGTACGATCCGATGCAGTACACGGAGAACGGCAAGAACGGGGTTATCAAGAAATTGACAAACGAAAATGATATTCTGAAGGAGGAACTGAGCAAAATAAATAAGGACTTCATGGCGCTGAAGAGCAAGAGGCTGCATGATTTGAATCTCTTGCAGGAGGAACATGAGCGAGAGATGGCCACTCTTGTGAAAGAGTACAGCGTTAAGATCGGTGATTCTAAAGCGGTAAAGTTGCAGGTTTGTAACGCTTAGCGAGCACTTGGCCTGTTTCTTATTTCATCTATTGCACCGAAAAAATCTATTTTTTAAGTAGAATAAATCTCTACTTCGCTTATTTAAGTAGAACAAGCCTCTGCTTCGCTTATGTCTCAATATATTTATATTTACCATGGCTAGGAATTTTTATTATACAATTTTTATTATTAATAGGGTCAGATTAATACTCAGGGAGCAATCATATCGCATTTAAAAGAACAGGTCGAAAAGTTCAGAGACTACAAGGAGCAGGTGATCATGTTGAAGGCCGAAAGAGAGCATTTGGAGAATAAAGTGAGGACGCTGACCGAGAAAGTCAAATACTTATCAACGCCGGTATGTGAAAAACTCGATTAAGGCGGCTTCTTTAAGGCGGCCATGACATTGATGATATTTCTGTTTCAGGGAACAGAACAGTTGCAATTGTTGCAGGACAAAATCACAATCCTCCAGCAACGGCATGAAAGCAGAGAGATGACTTTGCAGACGTTAATTCGCGATTTACTGAGGAATCGAACACAGTGCAAAGACTGTAAAAATGAGAAAGGTAAAAATCGACAGCTCTGCTACTTCCGGCAGGAGCTTGATCATATCTTAGGAATGCTACAAGAGATCACTAATGTCCATTGATCTCACTGAATTGAGAAATCGTCTCTAAATAGTCACGCAATGCATTTGATGGTTATCGGTTTATCATCGAATATTGTGATAATTTTTACAAGAATAAGATTCGCGATATAGTTTAAATAATTCGAAAGAGGCATTAAATACTTTAGGTATCGAAACATAGGTACATAAACGCGTTCGTTCGCGACACTCAGCCAAAATATTTAGTCGATACTTCTATCGACTCTTCCATAATTGATGAGAACTATGCGCAATCTTCTTTCTTGCGTCCGTGACACCGTTCGTTCTGCGAAGTCGTCCATTAGTACAGAACTCGCAAAGAATTCGGTAGGCTCGGATCACTGCCAAAGAGAAAAACGCTACTGCGTAACATTACCATTAATATCTATAATAACGAACGAACATATGATTGAATTACAAACTTTTTCGATCTCTTTCCGTCGCCAATTTTCTTGCCATTCGCGCGCAATGTCTGAGAACACTGCCCGCTATTAGCGTAATCTATTTTATTGAATCAAAAAATAATTTTTAGACTAAGTCATAAATATATTTTTAGAAGTAGATATTTTTTTTATTTATTTATTTTTATTTATTGACCATTGAATAAAAATGGCATGGCTGCTTGCAACGTGTCTCCAAATTGATGTTGCTGCAGCTTGTTTTCTTATAATAAATTGTATAGCATGACAATTGGACGGAGGAAAAAGAAAAAATAGATATATGAAAATATCTTCATAAGAATTTCTTCCAAAGTTAAATAATATCTAGTTTTTTACGGATAATTTTTTCGAAACTTTGCTGTACATATAGTAGGCGTTATAAGGGATAAATCGCTATATTTATTTCGGATAATACTCTACGTCGATTTATTCGCGATCAACGAAGTCGTATCGTCCGACTATATCATGTATATCGTATCGTAAGTACTCTAGTTTATTACTGTTGCCAAGTCTAGCTGATAATTTCATGAAATGTAGCCTTGTCTGTATGCGTAATAGACGCAAGCACACCGCACAAATCGATGTGATCGAGACTTAAGAATAAGTAATCAGCAACAAAGAACATGCCTATCTTTTGTATTTTCAACACAAAATCTGCAGACTTTTGGAGGCAATTATCTTCCTGAGACTCGGTTACATCGAAGTACACATAATCACACTCTTTTTCTAAATAGATTTAAGCTTGTCACATGTAATGTACAAAATTCAAAATTATAACTTTAATAAATTTAATCTTTTCGCCGAAGGTTCGATATTTTCCTTGGCGTAATAATATTACGCAAGTTAAAAAATCGCTGTAATATTTTCCTGTATTTATTAAGTAAATTAAAATCTAAAAACCTTATGTATGTATATATACACACATATACAGGGTGTTTCCAAATTAAATGGCAAAACTTCGGGAGCGTGTAGAGGAGTAAAAAACTAAGAAAAAAAGTCCTATAGACATATGCTCGTTTTTGCTCCGTTTCAGAGAAATCGAAAAAAAATGTTTACATTTCTTGCCATATCTAGCACCGACATATTTGATTACATTTTCCACTTTCTGTTATGAATTTGTCAGTCGCTCTTTGAAAGCCTTTAACAGTAGATGAATTTTGTCTTTTGCAATATGCCGCGTACGTATTCTAATAGTGAATATGCTGATATGGTTTTTGTATACGGTTTCTGCAACGGTAATGCTTTAAAGGCGGTGCGAGAATATGCACGACGATTTCCAAACAGAAGAGTGCCAAACCGAAGAGTGTTTATGTTGACATTTAATAGATTGCGAGAGACTGGA